GTGCAGTGTTATAATTATAGCTCACTGCAGCCTCTAACTCCCCAGCTCAAGTGATCCTCCCACCTCAGCCTCCCAAGTATCTGAAATTACAGATATGCACTACCAAGCCTGGCTAATCATTTTATTATTACTATCATTATTGTAGAGATGGATTCTCACTATGTTGTCTAGGCTGGTCTTGAACTGGTCTCAAGCGATCCACCCACCTAGCCCTCCCAAAGTCCTAGGATTACAAGTGTGAGCCCTGACACCCAGCCTGATGTTCTCTGTGTGTTGTATCATGCCATCGTTCACCAGGTACCCCTGGATGTACTTTCTCTTCCTCTCTCTCTTCCTCTCTCTTTCTCTCTCTGATGCTGACCCACCCAGTAGAACAGGGGCAAAGCAGAGGAAGACGAAGTCACCAATCCAGACACTACCTTCCCACATGTCCCTGTAACTTCTCTCCTTCAAGCGTGCTGAAGAAGACAGGCGCCACCCCTCCTCCAGAGAAATAGCCCCAGAAAACGATCTCAAAAAATACCCCAAGGAATGATTCCTTGTGTACCCCCTACACCCCCCTACACCCCTCTCTTTATAAAATCTCATGATTACAAAAGCAAGGAATGGGTTCTTTCTGTGCACACATTTCCTCCACCCAACACCGCCTGCACATCCCCAGATGGGTCTCCTACCTCAGGGACAGGATCTCCACACCCTTGAAGGTGAAGCCCTGCACGTCTGCGTAAATCTTCTGCATCTGGAACACCAAGGACCCCAGGGCTCAAAGTCTTGAACCTGAGGGCTTGAGGGCACCCACACGCCCAACCTCACACCCAGGGGAGAACTTTAAATTCCCCTCCCCCTGCCCCTTACCTGATTCCAGAAGGTGTTGTTGAAATCCCTGTAGGCCTGGGAAGTGTTGTCGTTGAGGTCGGAGGAGAACTCCTGGTCGACAGACACTTCCATGGCCACATCGGCCTCCACTGAGTCTGCACACAGCATGCATGTCCCTAGTCACTTCTCCGTCTGGTTTTGTCTGATGCCGCCACCACCACCACCACCTCCCCCCAACCCACAGGCGCCTCCTGCTGCTCCTCTCCAAGATCCCTGAGAACTGATGCACAGAGGCAGGAACAGAGGTAGGAATTCAAGGATGCATTGTGCCTCGGGAGTCTGAGGCAGGAGAATCACTTGAACCCAGGAGGCAAAAATTGCAGTGAGCTATGATTGCACCACTGCGCTCAGACCTAGGTGACAGAGCAAGACTCTGTCAAGAAAAGGAAAGAAGGAAAGAGAGAGAGAGAGATTGTGTGGAGATGAGAGGAAGCAGGCAGGAACAGAGCGGTGAGCCTGTGGTCCCTCCCAGCTACCCCTGTGGTGGGCGGGTGTCTGCGTCCTAATCCCCAGAACTGTGAGTATGCTATATACCACATGGCAAGGGAGGATCAAGGTGCAGATGGAATTCAGTTGCTAATCAGCCTAGCTCTTTTTTATTGCTGAGATGGGTCTCATTCTGTCATCCAGGCCGGAGCACAACAGTGTGATTGGATCACAGCTCACTGCAGCCTTGACCTCCAAGCCTCAACTGATCCTCCCACCTCAGCCTCCTGAGTAGCTGGGACCACAGGGACATGCCACCGTGCCACCATCCCAGGTAATTTTTTAAAAAATTTTTTGTAGAGATGGGGTCTCACTGTGTTGCACAGCCTGGTCTTGAACTCCTGGCCTCAAGCAATCCTCCCCCCATGGACTTCCAAAGTGCAGAGATTACAAGACAATCAGCTGATTTTTTTTTTTTTTTTTTTTTGAGACAGTCTCGCTCTCGCTCTGTCATCCAGCCTGGAGTGCAGTGGTGAAATCTCAGCTCACTGCAACCTCCACCTTCTGGGTTCAAGTGATTCTCCTGCCTTAGCCTCCCGAGTAGCTAGGATTACAGGTACCTACCACCATACCTGACTAACATTTGTGTTTATAATAGAGATAGAGTTTCACCATGTTGGCCGGGCTGGTCTCAAACTCCTGACCTCTGGTGATCCGCCCGCCTCTGTCTCCCAAAGTGCTGGGATTACAGGCGTGAGCCACACACCTGGCCTAATCAGCTGATCTTGTAAAAATTAACATGGACAATTCAGGGAGGATCCAAAGTCCTCACAGAGTCCTTAACAGTGGAAGAAGCAATAGCGGAGCCCAGAGTCCATCAGAGTGAGATGAGGCTATGGGAGAAAGACCCAGAGGGATGCAGCCTTGCTGGCTTGGAAGATGGAGCCAGGGACCCTGTCACATGCAACATGAGAGGCTCCAGAAGCTGCAAAGGGCAAGGAAATGGATGCTTCCCTGGAGCCTCTAGAAGAGAACACAGCCCTGGTGATGCCTGGATTTCAGCCCAGTGACACCCACATGGGACTTCTGATCTACAGAATTGTAACCTGGTAATGTCGTGGTGTTTCAGCAGCCAGGTTTGGGTGTGTTGGTACAGCCGCAGTTGGAAACGGATATATATCCAAGCAACCCAAGTCAAGAAATGGGCTTAGAAGGGAATGTGGTTCCCAGCCACCTCTTAAGGATGAGGAGAGAGGAGCATGACACAGGGCAGCGGAGGGCATGGGAGAGATGGCAGGGAGGGAAGGATTGGGCAAAACGGCATGGGTGCCTCCAGGTCGTGCTCATGGATAAGTCTGGGGAAGTGCAGAAGGTATAGCTCTGGCGACTCACCTACATCCACCTGTTCCACAGCAAACTCACAATCGGAACCATAGAAGGTGCTGGGACACTGGCACTTGAGGCCATCCCAAGTACCCCCATTCTGGCATTTTCTCTGGTGCTGACAGCGGTCCCCAGAGAACCCCTGACGGCAAACACACTGGCCCTGTTCCCAGGTGCCACCATTGTCACAGGTGCCTAGGAAACACGGGAAGAAAAGGAAGGTCAGGATACAGCCTGACCTCAGTGACACAGGAATTTTGCAGGGGAGGGAGGAGGAAGAAGAGGGAGGCAGAAGGTCCAACCTGCAGTGGTGGTCAACCTTGACTGTGTGGTCATCTGGGAAGTGACGGGAGTTGTCCTGCGTGATGTAAGGGTGGTAGGAGTCTGGGTAGTGGCCACTGGTGTCTCTGAAGTCCTGGTGGTGCGTGGGGAGGAGCGAGTTGATTTGCTTGAAGTCCTCAGGACAGTTGGAAGGCTAGTGCTTGGTTTCGTGGTCAGTGGGATGGTAGAGACTCCAGGAAGAGGTGGGGGGATCACGGAGCTGGTGCTCAGCCAGGTCTCACTGGTGGGCATTTGAGTACTTGTGAAAACTGTGTTTGTGGGTACAGTCCCAGTGCCAGTGGAACTGGAAGCATTGGTTGTGATGCTGGGCAAACTTCCTGGAGTCACAGAAGTGTCCATATATGTAGGAAGGGCAGTTCGCAGACTGATGGAGCTGGGACTGGTGACCATTTTGGTCGTAAAGGAAAAGACGGCTAATGGGGTGGTGGTGGAAGTAGCTTGAGTGCTGGGATCTATTTCAACACATGGATCAGTGGGAGAGGTGGGGACTATTGTAATTGTTATAGTTTCTGGACAGAGTGTGATGGAGGGAAGAGAAATATAAGAAAAGGGGGTTATTTTGGTGAGAGTTGTGGTCGGAGAATTGCTGGCTGGAGAAGTGCTGGTAGTTGCAGAGGAAGAGAGAGTAGGAAAGGCTGTGATAGAAGAGGAACTCACATTTTCTGTGCTGAAAATCTGTGGTGAATAAGGGGCAGAATGAGTGGTAGTGGAGACCGCTGGAGTTATGCTGGCAGAAGACGGAGAAGAGGACATTATGGTAGTGGGTGTTGAGGACCAGATGATGGTACTAAAAGGAGTCAAGATTGCATTTGTAGATGTACTTGTCCTAGTGAAAGATTCTGTAGTAGACTCACTTGGAGACATGAATGAATTTTGCACTGAGAGGGTTGAAGGAGTTGTTTTAAGGGTGGATGAATGTGTGCTAGTAACAGGCACTTCTGATGTTGACATGATTGTACTCAAGGTTGTTGATGGGGTAAGAGTATCGAGAGTGGACATGGAGGAATCCGTGCTTCCAAAGGTGAGAGTAGTGGGTACAGGAGATGTTTGTGTCCCGGTGGCAGAGGTCAGCACAGGAGGGGTATGTGTTGGGCTTTCAGGTGTAACCAGAATACTTGTACTAAGGGAACTGATTGGGGTGTTTTCAGTAATTCTGATGGTCGTTCTCACAGTGGAAATGGTGGGAGAGAGTGTGCTCACAAAGGATGAGGTTTCTGTATTTGAGATGGAGGGAGAAGACAAAATGATGTGTGTTAGGGATGGTGAGGTACTGACATCAGTGGGTGTAGAGGGAAGGTGTGTATCTGTAGTCAAGGAAGTGCTGATGCCCAAAGATGAGGGCGTAACAGTTATTAATGTTGTGGTCGGGATGTCTGTACTCCAAGAAGATGGAGTTACAGCTGTGGAGGTCACCCCAGTCTCCAAGGAAGTGGGAGTTGAGGTGGTGGCAGTTGTGGATGTGCTGGCTGTGGAGTAGATGGTCAAATAAGTGAAGCTGGAAGTACTGTGTGAGGTGGGCTCGATGGTGGGGATTGAAGAAGTGAAGCTGGGAGTACTATGTGAGGCAGTCTCAGTGGTGGTGATTGAAGAGGTAAAGCTGGGAGTACTCGGTAAGGTGGTCTCAGTGGCGAAGATTGAGGCGGTAAAGCCTAAAGTACTGTGTGAGGTGGCCTCAGTGGTGGGGTTTGAAGATGTGAAGCTGGGAGTAATATGTAAGGTGGTCTCTGTGGTGGGGATTGAAGCAGTGAAGCTGGAAATACTGTGTGAGGTGGTCTCAGTGGTGGGGATTGAAGAGGTGAAGCTGGGAGTACTGTGTAAGGTGGTCTCACTGGTGGGGATTGAAGAAGTGAAACTGGGAGTACTGTGTGAGGTGGTCTTGATGGTGGGAATTGAAGAGGTGAAGCTGGGAGTACTATGTGAGGTGGTCTTGGTGGGGGAGATTGAAAAGGTGAAGCTAGGAGTAGTGTATACGGTGGTCTCAGTGGTTGTGATTGAAGATGTGAAGCTGGGAGTACTGTGTGAGGTTGTCTCAGTGATGGGGATTGAAGAGGTGAGGCTGGGAGTAGTTTGTAAGGTGATCTGAGTGGTGGGGATTGAAGGGGTGAAGCTGAGAGTACTGTGTGAGGTGGTCTTGGTGGTGGGGATGGAAGAGGTGAAGCTGGGAGTACTGTGTAAGGTGGTCTCAGTGGTGGGGACTGAAGAAGTGAAGCTGGGAGTACTGTGTGAGGTGGTCTTGGTGGGGGGGATTGAAGGGCTGAAGCTGGGAGTAATGTATACAGTGGTCTCAGTGGTCATGATTGAAGATGTGAAGCTGGGAGTACTGTGTGAGGTTGTCTCAGTAATGGGGATTGAAGAGGTGAGGCTGGGAGTAGTTTGTAAGGTGATCTGAGTGGTGGGGATTGAAGGGGTGAAGCTGGGAGTACTGTGTGAGGTGGTCTCGGTGGTGGGGATTAAAGAAGTGAAGCTGGGAGTACTGAGTGAGGTGATCTCAGTGGTGGGGATTGAAGAGGTGAAGCTAAAAGTACTGTGTGAGGTCATCTCATTGGTGGAAATTGGAGATGTGAAGCTGGAAGTGCCATCTGAGGTGGTGCTGGTGGTGAGGATTGAAGAGGTAAAGCTGGGAGTACTGTGTGAGGTGGTCTTGCTTGTGATTGTTGAAGAGGTAAAGCTGGGAGTAGGGTGTGAGGTGGTCTCAGTGGTGGCGATTGAAGAGGTGAAGCTGGAAGTAATGTCTGAGGTGGTCTCAGAAGTGAAGATTGAAGAGGTGTAGATGTGAGCAGTGTGTAAGGTCGTATCGGTAGTGGGAATTAAAGAGGTGTAACTGGTAGTACTGTTTGAGGTGGTCTCGGTGGTGGTTGTTGAAGAGGTAAAGCTGGGAGTAGTGTGTGAGGTGGTCTTGGATATGGTGATTGAAGAGGTGAAGCTGGGAGAACTGTATGAGGTGGACTCAGTGGTGATGATTGAAGAGGTGTAGTTGGGGGTACTGTGTGAGGTGGTCTTGGTGGTGGGGATTGAAGAGATATAGCTTGTAGTGCTGTTTGAGGTAGTCTCCGTGGTGGTTGTTGAAGGGATAAAGCTGGGAGTAGTGTGTGAGGTGGTCTTGGTGGTGACTGAAGAGGTGAAACTGGGAGTACTGTGTGAGGTGGACTTGGTGGTGAAGATTGAAGAGGTGTAGATGGGGGTATTGTGTGAGGTGGTCTTGGTGGTGGGGATTGAAGAGGTGTAGCTGGTAGTACTGTTTGAGGTGATCTCAGTGGTGGTTGTTGAAGAGGTAAAGCTGAGAGTAGTGTGTGAGGTGGGCTCAGTGGTGGGGATGGAAGAGGTAAAGCTGAAAGTACTGTGTGAAGTGGTCTCGGTGGTGGGGATTGAAGGAGTGAAGGTGGGATAACTGTGGGAGGTGGTCTTGGTGGTGGAGATAGAAGAGGTGAAGATGGGAGTACTGTGTGAGGTGGTCTTGGTGGTGAAGTTTGAAGACGTGAAGCTGGAACTACTGTGGGAGGTGGTCTTGGTGACTGGTATTGAAGAAGTGAACCTGGGACTAGTGTGTAAGGTGGTCTCTGTGGTTGGGATTGAAGAGGTGAAGCTGGGAGTACTGCGTGAGGTGGTCTCAGTGGTGGGGATTGAAGATGTGATACTGGGAGTACTGTGTGAGGTGGTGTCAGTGGTAGGGATGGAAGAGGTGAAGCTGGGAGTAGTGTATGAGGTGGTCTCAATGGTGGGGATTGAAGAGGTAAATCTGGGAGTAGTGTGTGAGGTGTTCTCTGTTGTGGGGATTAAAAAGGTGAAGTTTAGAGTTCTGTGTGAGGTGCTTGCGGTGGTGGACATTGAAGAGGTGAAGCTGGGAGTACTGTGAAATGTTGTGTCGGTGGTATGGATTGAAGAGGGGTAGCAGGGAGTACTCTGTGTGCTGGTCTCAGTGGTGATGATCGAAGAGGTGAATCTGGGTGTAGTGTGTGAAATGGTCTCAGTTGTGGTGATTGAAGATGTGACGCTGGGAGTACAGAGTAAGGTGGTCTCGGTGGTAAAGATTGAAGAGGTAAAACGGGCAGTAGTGTGTGTGGTGGTCTTGATGGTGGTGATTGCAGGGGTGAAGCTGGACTTAGTGTGTGAGGTAGTCTTGGTGGTGGGGTTTGAAGAGGTAAAGCTGGGACTACTGTGTGAGGTGGTACCGGTGGTGGGGATTGAGGAAGTGAAACCGTAAGTACTGTGTTGGGGGGTCTTAGTGGTCGGGATTGAAGAGGTGAAGCTAGGAGTATTGTGTGAGGTGGTCTTAGTGGTGGGTATTGAAGAGGTGACGCTGGGAGTAGTGTGAGAGGTGGCCTCTATGGTGGGGATTGAAGAGGTAAAGGTGGGAGTACTGCCTGAGGTGGTCTTGGTGGTGAGGATTGAAGAAGTGAAGCTGGGAGTACTGTGTGATGTGGTCCCGGTAGTGGGGATTAAAAAGGTGAACCTGGGAGTACTGTGTGAGGTTGTCACCGTGGTGAAGATTGAAGAAGTGAAGCTAGGACGAGTGTGTGAGGTGGT